AGGAGAATGGTGTGAACCCGGGAGGCGGAGCTTGCAGTGAGCCAAGATAGCGCCACTGCACTCCAGCCTGGGCAAAAGAGCAAGACTCTGTCTCAAAAAAAAAAAAAAAAGAAAAAGTTTGCAGGGTGTGGTGGCACGCACCTGTGGTCCCAGCTACTCTGGAGGCTGAGGTGGGAGGCCATGAAGGTCAAGGCTGCAGTGAGCCATGATGGCACAACTGTGCTCCAGTGTGGGTGACATAAGACCCTGTTTCAAACAACAAAAATAAACAAAAAATTTATTTTCAAATTTGTCTTTGATCTAGGTTAGTTATTAGGTCTGAAATTCTGAAACTACTCTCATAAACCTTATCTACAGGGAAAACAATGTTGAAGGTCAGTAGACTACTCATCCTTTTTGCTTTCAGAGGCATTATGTCATTTAATCTTTACAACAGACCTATCGTAATTATTATCATCGGCATTTTACAGATGATCAGAGATTCATTTGTACATGAGGTAAGAAACATGTAAAATTTACTACCATAACCATTTTTAAGTGTACAGTTCACTAGATTTAACTATATCCACATTGTTGTTCATTTGTATAATTTTGAAAGTTTATGGCAGCAGTTCAGAAATAAAATGTCTCACCACGTCAAAATATAATTTGGTAATTTGAAACTTCAAATGTTATAAATGTATTAGAAACTGTTGTATTATTTCTAATGGCAAGGTAGTAATAAGGATTGTAGTTCATGAATGTGGTAATTAGCCAGAAATTCATTTTCTTTTTGCCTATGCTTTTCTCATTAATCATATTTTACCCTTTTGCTTGTATTTATGACATGGACTTATTTGGAGTCTTACATTGAAGGCATAGGTCTGATCCATAGTATTATTTCACCTCTCAAAGATTGAAAAGAAAATAACAGTTGGATTCCAGACCTCTGATATGACCCTGATTTGAAAGTTCCATATAGGCACAGTTTAGACAGAGCTACTGAATTTAAATTAGTAAGAGCTGAAGAAATGCTAAGCATAAAATGGACAGAGCCCTTCCCAGGGTAGCAGACATAAGTAGCAGTAAATCAGTAAGTACTAAAGCACAGGATCACTTCATTCTGGCTTTCTGCCATTTATAGACACTCAAACTTGGAATGAGCAGAAATCCTTTTGAATTTATATTTGCAAAACCTTGTGTCCATTCTTTTCTGGATTACCTTTATTTTTTTCTGTTTATTTCCTCATACCATCATCTATGCTCTGTTGGGTGCAGAGTCTGCTTAGATATGTTTGAGTGGCCCTGATTTGCATGTGGTTGCTTGCGTACCCAGAGAGAGGTACTGGGGATCAAATTGGATGCAGTTTAGCTGTGGCTCAATAGAGGGAGTAGAGGAGCTGAGGGAGGGGAGAGAGCAAAAGAACGTGTCTGGTTAAGTAAGTGTTGTGTGTGCGCACCAGGAGGAGGGGGGCAGGGTGGGGGGTGGTTGCCTCTAGCAGCTCCACCCTCACTTTGTCAGCAGGTAGAGAGCGTGATTGCTGTCCCAGGGGAGGGAGTCAGAGCTAGAACACCAATTACAAACCACAGGCTTCCTGCTCTAGGGAGTTGATCCAGAATTGTCTTTCTGAAAGGAAGCACTCGAATCCTTCCGAACTTTCCAAGTCCATCCATGATTCAGAGATACTGCCTTCTCTCTCTGGGATTTTCTGTGTTTCTGATAGTGAATTGTTGATGTATTTGCTACTTTGCTCCTTTTCTCTTTCAAGACTTGGTCATTTTATATGCTGTTTGGAGAAAAAAAGAACTTTTATTAGAAAGGAGGTTTCAGAAATGATTTTGGATTTTCTGTAAGTGTTTAATCTAGTTCTTGGGGACAGCATCTCTCATCCTGGAGTAAATTTCTGCCTTTGACCTGCATGGATTATTTTTTCAGGCTGCGGAATTTCTCGGCACCTACCTGTAGTATGGGGCACTTTGTTTGGTTGCAGAGTAAGAAGGTGGAAGAATGAGCTGTACTTGGTTAAACAGTTGAAACCTTTTTTGAGCAGGATCTGTAAAAGCATAATTGAATTTGTTTCACCCCCGTGGATTCCAGTGGGCCCGACAGCGCAACAGGTTTGCAGATTTCTTTTGAAATTCTTTTTTTCTCCCCTCCCTCTGCCTCAGCAAAAGAAACGAATCTATATAACAGGTTCATGTTGTTCAATTGCTTGGCTTTTCAGCACTTGTTCTGAAGACTTTATAATATTTTTAAACTTGACCTTGGAACACAGAGGGCTTTGTGGGTGAAGTGTATTTCTATTTACTTAAGGGTGCACATTTTAAAAATCTTATTCTGTGTTTGTACAAAGACCCAAATTTTCATAGTGCCTGGAAATAGCACAGATTTATTCTACTCAAGCTTATTTGTATTTTTTCAAGGTATTCTACCTAGAGCCTGTGGTTAATCGCCTCCCTGCTCTCCCTACCTTTTATTCCCCACCCCCTCAAGGAATTTGAAAACATGTTAGGAATAGTCCTTTGTTTTTCTTATGAACCTAGAAAATTACAGATCATAAAATCTGGATATTAAAGTAGTTTCCAAAAGCATCTCATGGGAAATCAAAGTGCTCGGCATTTCCGAGCTGGAGAATAAAATCAAGAATCCTTAAGAGAGAAAAGAAAACGGAGATAGAAATATGAATTTTAACTGGAAAAATAATTGGAAAGCTAACCTTTTCAAATACTCTAATTATGAAAGTTGGAAAAGGTTGTG